TTCGGCATTCGTAGAATAGATTACACACAAAATTTGTGTCATTGGTAAACAATTTAGCATTGAAAAGTTAATACTAAAGACACCAACCCACGCACTTTTTCAAGATAAAAAAAAAAAAGTTTAAATGTCACTTTTCTAACAATTCTATTTTTCTGTTTGCTGTGTGTGGGATCTCCTAAAATCTCAGCTACTATAAAGACTAGAGACGTGAAATTTGGCGTGGATACTTCTAACACAATATTATAGGGTCAGGTCTATTTGAAATTACAGTTTATCGAGTCATTTTTTTTTTTAAATTTGATTATTAAATGAAAAAGCAACATTTTTGCATTTTTTTTAACATACCAAAATTTTAATATTAAAAAAAAAAAAATATTTAAAAACATCTTTGAAGTAAATAAACTAGACCTGACCCTAAACATAAGTTTTAAAGTTCATGAATCAATCATCTGTTTCTCAATACCTCTGTTTGTTTGTGAGATTTTAGCTGTCTAAGTACATGTTGTTTTTTCATCAAGATGGCAGCTGTTGCCATGGCAACCATGTTTTTTAAAACTTCAAGTCTACAAATGTATCAACATACATCCCTACAAATGACCATTATAAAATAATTGGTCTAACATTGTAAGTAAAAAAAAAAATTGTTTTTCCTGTAGTGACCCCAGAAATGCACCCCACAGGTAATATAAAGTCACGTGAGACGTCCAGAACCCAATGGGTTTCCATCCCTTTACAAAACATAAGAATGAAATAGATCATACCTATAAAACAAACTGATAATAGAACAGAAAAAAAAAGCAATAGACATACTCTCTAAAAGTTTAAAATGGCAATTAAGTAAACGCAGGAAAGACACAAACAGGGAAAGCGTATACACATCGATAGACCCATACACAATATCTTTAAAAGGCATTGAAATTAAACAATTGTAAAATGAGGACGAAAAGAAGTTTTTAAAATTTATTTTTTAAAAGCATTTCATTACTTTTTTTTTTTAAAGAAAGATGCAGATGTATACCGAATACAGTCGTCTGTTTATAATGAAAATCGTCACATAACTAAGGACTTCAGTTATAAACTTCTCTAAGGTTGAACCTGGTAATCTTCTAACCACACATGCACTTCGGAAAACGTTGAGCCTGTTTAAGTTCCCCCTGACCCCAGTTGAGAACCTGTTAATGTGACGACCTCGGCGACGTGTAGATATTGTGTTCCCCCAAAATAAGACCTACTAGAAAATAAGCCCTAGTTGGATTTTAATATAAGCCCTATCCCAAAATACACCGTAGGTAAGATCGTCAGCTGGAATAAGAGACTGGTTTCCGAATGGTGGGTCTGAGTACAGACGCTAGTGGGGCCGGTGATTCTACAGGAAATGGAGTCGCAATACATTTAGACTGGAGTCTGGATTTGTGAGGTTATGACGATGTTCCAGAAGAAGATCACATGACTGTAGATGATAAGACTCTAGATGATATGACTGTATATGAACAAATGTAGAATCGTCTGCATTAAAAAAGATGTAGATTTTTTGTATCTGAAAAAAAAAAAATGACGTCCATCGAAAATAAGACCTAGTGCATTTTTAAAGCAAAAATTATTGTAAGACCCGGTCTTATTTTCGAGAAAACGTATGATTCAGTGTCGTGATCCACTACTACTGGTGGTTCAGCATCTCTGCAATTACTTGGAAATATCTATGCAGTAGTTTGCCTTTGCTGTGAGGGGTGGGGGTGCCTAAATTGGTTTCCGGCCCCTGGCTGCATATAGAACAACTTAGTGCAACCAATTATTTCACTAAGCATAAGTGGCTGACGTCATCAGTTCCGTGGTGGTTTATTCTCTTGTTTGGCTTTACACATAGTTAGCGTATGATCTCACTGCTTTTGACTTGATTTTTTACCGTGTATTCCATTTATAATCCACAAAGGTTGAACAGACAGCTATTGATATAACTGCCACAACTACATGTTTTTTTTTTTTTCTGTCTAAATCCTTGTGGAGAAAGCGAAAACGGATGTCTGATGTCACCAACTTTCCGGGAATTCCTTCCCCGCTCACACCCCTGCATAATACCAGGAATCATAGACTTTCACTTTCCCGAGAAAGAAACTTCGCTTGTGTGTGTTGCATGCTAATGAAGGCTTTCAAGCTGTAATTCGCAGGCACGCCGGACCTAGAGGATAGTGTACCTTGAGCCCTACCATCTCCCACCCATACACACAAATCGTTAGGGAGCTCACTCTTTCCTCTTAGAAACGTTGACAATATAGACGCTATTTGTGTGTGTGTGTGTGTTTGTGGGTGTGGGTGTGTGCGTGCGTGCGTGCGCGCGCGCGCATTCATTCTTTCCTAGTAGTTTAGTTCGGGGATCGAGTAGGTCGGGGGTCGGGTAGATGATTTGTGGGTTCCAGGGTTGCTGTCTGCATCTATCAGTCCCCAATAACGCCTAGTGAACAATGGGATCCCCTAACCAGTCTCATCCTTCGAACAATGAGTTCTCTTATATTTTTATTGTGGTCAGAGAATTTAAGGAAATCTGGCAACCCAAGTTTTTTGCCAAAGTAGGCAATGGCTGCAAAATCTTCCGGTACTCAAAAAGTTATCATCCCAAGGATGACATTCGCGTCGGTTGACAATGGTGATTTTGTGTGATGTGGGATTTAACCAATAAAACGCTATCTACAGCGTTCTTTTCTGTCATTTGTGACTGTACTTAGTGTGTGTTTTGTGAGTGCGTGCGTGCGTGTGTGTGTGTGTGCGTGCGTGCGTGCGTGTGTGTGTGTGTGTGTGTGTGGCTACAGTTGGGGGGGGAGCGGGGGGAAAGAGGGGTGGCTAATTTTGATTCACTTATATTATTATTTCCTCAGGAAAATGATTAATTACAAATCAATATTACAGTACTGGAGACATTCCCATAATAGTTTCATCCCCATCTTCAGCAGCAAGTGCAGAGTTCCTATTCGGATGGCACCAGTTGCAGTCTGATTGTATATCCGTCTCACCTTTCCCCTAAGTGTTGGGCGTCACCAGACCCCTTGTCACTCCCTCGCTGAACCACTCAGTTGAGATTGTGGTGATCTGTTTGTGCCTAAGATCACCCGCTCCCAAAGGGCCCTGACAACACCTAGCGTGTCATACATTAGTTGACCCCACAAGGTGTTGCAGAACTTATCAAGTTCATCAGGAATCGGCTCACTTGTCAATCAGAGTTGCCACTTTTCTTTGACAAAAAACATCCAAAACTGAGTCAAACATCGGAATTTGCTTGGAAAACATCTAGACAAATGGAAAACGTCACCTAGCGATATGACTTAGCCTATAGAACATGTCCTCGTCTTTACTTGTCTGCATTACAAGCCAGGATAAACTTAGACTAGATGATGAAGTGTTGCAGAACCTGTCAAGTTCATCAGAAAGTGATTCACTTGTCATTGTCCTTTGTTGCTGATGCGCTGGTTGTGTGTAGTGTTTCCCCTTACACCATAGCTCACCATGTGTATTTACTGTGTGCTCAGTGACTCACTCATAGGTCACGACACGCCGCACGCTTTTATCAGACCATAGCCAAGTAATTTTATTTACTTCTCTGCCCTTTTTGTCCATCAATCAGGTGCCGTCTCCGTAATGAACGTTGACTGACTGTAATAGATCTGCAACACTATCTGATTGTCTGTCATCCTGATTGTATACTCTCTAAAACTGTTGTTTATCTATCTCTTGATGTTATCAAACAGTTGTATTAATGTGTACTTTTTGCCAAAGTTATGACGTAAATAGAAGTGACTGCAGTCGAGCTGATTGCAAGAAATGCTAAATATAACACAAAATGTGACTTGAAAGCTCAACGGAGGGAGTAGAAAAGACGCACACAAACACGACCGAGCGTTTCGACCAAAGTATTTATCAATGGAGTACTAAATACAGCATAAACTGTGACTGGAAAACTCAACGAACAAGACAACAGAGTTAATTTAAATTAAGTTCAGGATGTTGTCTTGTCATTTGAGTTTTCCAGTCACAGTTTAGTACTCTGTTGATAACGACTTTGGTCAAAACGCTCGGTCGTGTTTGTGTGCGTCTTTTCTACTCCCTCCGTTGAGCTTTCTAGTCACATTTTGTGTTATATTTAAGATTTCTTGTAACTTTTGCTAGCTTACTTCAGAATTTACCTACAGTATGATGTTTATAAAACTGTTAAATCTGAAGACGCAGGTTCGAATCCTCTGTAGGGTTGGGCAAAAAGGAAATCCTAACCCGCACAGTCCGTAGCGACTGCACTAGCCACGCGACCCTAACTCCCCAGCACCAGCTGCTGCAGTTTGTCCTCACCAGGCTTGCACTTCTGCAGGATCAACGCCTCAAGGACGAGAATCTTACACGTACAAATGTCGATATGCCCCGTTGACTGACTGACTGACTTTCTACCCCACCAGGACATCACACAAGCGATAAACACCCGATAACACAAAGTGTCACCATGTGGATGAGGATCGCCGTGGAGAGGTCCCAGAAACCGCGTTCAGACAATTGGCCATATTAATGGCCTGCCTATATTGCGGCCCCTGGAAAAAGCCAGGGTGGGGCTTCAAATAACAAAATATTTTGTTCTAAAAAGGACGAAACTGGATCCATATGGTATGCCCCGTTCAACCGTAAGGTTATACTGGGGCCCGGACGGATACGATATCATCTGTAAATTATTATTACATCCTATTTTTTTTTTTTTTATAAATATGCTAAAATATGTCACTCGTTTTATTATATTTCAAGCGAACGAAAGAAGAAGAAGAATGGTTTCTTTTTTTTTTTAGCTCGAGGTCGAAGGGCAACTTAGATCCCTGAAAATGTGGGTGGAGGGGGGAGGTAAAGGTGAGTGAGCGCCGAGTTTCTGGCGCCCTGGAATCAGAAAGATTTATTTTGTCATCTTTCATAGATCGATTGTGTAATGATTCTCCTAGTTTGATTGTGTGATAATTCATGTCTGCAGATATTCAGTAATGGCTGCCAGGCGGTGTCGGATCTTCTTCCTGGCTATCACCCTTCTGGTCAACGCCCTGGATTTCATCAGCGACTGGCTGTTCTACGTCAGCGCAGAGAAAGTCGAGAAGGGCCTGGTCTACGGCCCTATCGAGCCGACCCAGGTGACCGCACTACTGGTCTTCTCCATCGTCGGCACTGTCGGGTTCGTCATAGAAATCGCCGTTTTCGCGTTTGAGCTGCGCAAAGGAGAGGACTTCCATGGCGACCTTCTGCTGGATATAACGTCTGCTGTCATCATCTGGTTTGAGGACATTCCCCAGGTGGTGATCAGCTTCAGCATCGCTTTGTGCCGGGAGGAAGCTGTCAGTATCTTCCAGCTGACAAAAGCGGGTCTCGTACTTGTGGGTGTTCTCATCAGCATTACAGCTACCCTCGTCCGATTCTGCCGGACCTGCGACACCAAAGCTACAGTCTGTGGGGTCAGATTCTGTCTCATACTCGGCATCTTTCTTGAAGGCAGTTTCGCAGCCGCCATATTTGCTTTGACACAAACAGAACAGGGGGAAAATGGTGAGATGTTCTTTAAAGTTCCAACAACAGTCATTGATGATCATCTGAGCGATGAGAGGTACATTACTAACGTGAATCTGTTTGCCCATCATGCTGATATGTTTGATGCCTGGAACATGGATACCAACAAGAAAGACGCTATGGCCAACTGGATAAATCTCTTTTCCTTATACAATCTGAAAGATAACAAAGTCTTATCTTTTAAACTTAATTACGAACATGTGGGCGTGCAACTTTTGAATTTAGGAATCTGGGTAGCAGCCGGGGTGTATTCAACTTCCCACACTACATGGACTTTATCTGGATGTTATTCCCTAAACCACAAAACGGCCAAAGTAACCATACTACCAAATTCTACGTGCGAAAGTGAAAGCTTTTCTGGCAATAACTCAGAGATCTTCTTCATGAGCTTCCGTTATGAAGAACCGGACACGGGAATATTTTACCGAAAGCGTGTGTTTGGAGAGGTCATTTTTAATATGAAAGTCTTAAAAAATGGAAATTGTTCAGAGGGGAACTTTGAAGACCCACTCAAAAACAGTGGTATATTGTATTATCCGTTAACATTTCATTATTTCCGAATTAATAATGCGAACGATACTGGTGAAGTGAGACATTTGTATAAAGATACATCTCCTGATGATGTGAGGTTTTTCCGCAAAGATTCCAAAGATATTACAGATGTATCAGAAGTATGGAAGACAGGTTGGAGCAAATGTTCTAGTACTGGAAGTATGTCGCCAGTTAGGAATAAGAATATTCAAGTAGAATGCGCATAATTGCAATGTATAGGTGGCCATAGAGGTCTAAAATGGGGTGATCAAAGGTCAGATAAACAGACGGACTATTAGGGACAGAAAAACTGACGAATGAATGAACAAATAAGGAGTGTGTGAAGAGATAATAGGTATACAGCAACCGTACATATACGTGTTTGGAGAAAGAGAGAGTTTACTAAATGTGGATGTGACAAAACGATTCAAGCAGACACAACAGTTTCCGAGGCCGTCCAGAACGATAAGTGGGAAGACAGCATCAAGAGAAGACCAGTAGTCTGAGAAAGTATTATTCGAGGCAAGAGAACAGAGCTTGTTGGAGATTCACCACAGTCAACCTTCACTGAGGAGAGGGTGCCTGATTGATTGATTTATTGACTGGTTGATTTATTGACTGATTGAAATATTGATCGTTTGTTAGATTGATTGCCTAATTGTTTGTCTGATTGATTAACTGGACTATCGATAGTTTTATTGTATGATTGTTTGATTGATTAGCTAATTGTTTGGTTGTTTGATTGATTGATTGTCTAATTGGTTGATTTATTTATAGTTTGGTTGTCTGATTCGTTGATTGATTGATTGATTGATTGATTGATTGATTGATTGATTGATTGATTGATTGATTGATTGATTGATTGATTGATTGATTGATTGATATACTTACAACAACGCCATGACTCTCATTATCAATGATACCAGATATTCTGTGACATGTTGTCCACACTGTGGACCGAGTTGTTCGTCCATCACGAGTGACGAAGACCACTTTCATCTAAAGCAGCAATGATCAGTGATTATGAGTACAAAGATGTCTGATTAGTCAAATGCGAGCCTGGAAAGTTCTTAAGCAGTGCGGACAACAGGTGGAAGCCGCGGTAAATGTGGGATTATCGATACGGTTCTTTCTAGTCTGCCTCAATTTCTCTGCCTGTGCAACCTCCACTGCCTGGCAGGCCGATGCACCATGCTTGAGGGATGTACGCCATCCAGAAGGGTCCTGTGCAGCAGCCTCCCATGTTGCTGTGTTGATGTCAGAAGAGTTGAGAGCAGTTTTGAGTGTCCTCATAGCGCTTTTTCTGTCCTTTCTGCGACCCTCTTCCCTTGTTAGAGCTCGCCATAAAACGCTCTCTTTGCGAGGCGATAGTCTGGCATGCGAGCTAGATGACGCTGCTGAAAATTCTTTAGTATCATGAACAACAGTATTTGGGATCCTATCTTGCCAATTGATTTTGAGCAGCTTTCTGATACAAGTTATATGAAACTGATTCATATAACTTCTTCTTCTTCTTCTGTCTTTCTAACCCCCACTGGAGCATAGGCCCTCGGCCAAGTCGCTCTCTCCTTTGCTATCGCATGCTGCTCTCCCCATGTCATTCCCATTCTTTTAACTTCACTCTCTAATTTCCTTCTAAAGGTTTTTGGTCTTCCTTTATTCCTATGCCCCTATGGGTTCCAGTGCAAAGACATTCTAGTTAAATTGTTCTCCTGTTTTCTCCGCGTGTGTCCTATCCAACGCCAGCGTCTTTTCTTCACCTCTTGGTCCACTGGAACTTGCTTAGTTTTCTCCCAAAGCTCTACACTAAGGATTATTTCACATCATTCAATTCCCTCCACTCTGCGCACTGTGCTACCAGTGCCAAACTTGGACATTATCAAAGGCTATGTGAGATTACCACCTGTAAAATGAGATGCCTGATAAGAGCTGCGAAGTTAACTCTTTGAGTCCCAAGGGACGCATCATACGTTCATAGGTTCCTACCTAGAAGCCTAATGAACGCATGGTGCGCCGATTTTATGACTCTGTTTAATACCCCTTGGGCCTGTGGTGCAAAACCCCCTGGGACTCAAAGAGTTAACTATCCGAGACAAAGTCAGAAATTATATTATCAAACAGACTGTGTGGACAAAATCATGGACTAAATCCACTGAGAAACACAAGATAAAATAGTTGGGTAATTTGGTTAGAATGCAGCCACAGCTGCCATCACCGCTGCACAAAAAGATCTGATGTGAAAGCAAGAGGTCGCGCTGGGAGAATTTGGATTGACGACATTAAAAACCTTCAAAATCGACATGGAATGATAATAGCCATAGCCATTGCTACCCACCAAACAATGGATAAAAAAAATGTTCTTTATCATGACGCTTAACGTTAAAAGTAGAAATTGATGATGATGTTGGTGATAATGAGGATGAGGGTCAGTTGTTTAAATAAATGATAATATAAATGTAGATATTTTTCTGCTTGTGAATAGACATCCCATCCAAATCACTCAAGTGTATTTTGGAGCTAACCTTAATGTAAAACATGGTTTTATTTTCAGGAAACAAAGTATCCTGTCATTGTCAACTTCTTATTGAACATAACAGAGCTTAGTCTGACCATGTCAGAGCTTAGTCTTTGATCATATCATACATCAGACATTATGAGACATTCCATCGTTACATGTCAACATAACTAGGTGTCATCGCCGCTTTCAATGTCAGCGGTAATCCTGTATCTTTAAATAAAATTTGCGCGTACCCTTTACAGGACGTTGCAGAACCAAGCCCAGCATATTTTTGGCTTTTGTGGTTTTTCTAGACAAATTTTACGCCCAGTAGTTTGCCACTGCTTCTCAACGGTCAGCTCTCGGTACCACTGTCGAAAATAACTCAAGACAAATCATCCGCAGGTGGGATCGAACCCGGCAGCATGGTACTACAACGCTTGTTAAAATATTTTTTCCCAGCCATGTCTTTATATATTAATTGTATACATTTTGATTCGTTCATTGTTCTCGACATGCCTTTAATAATTAAGTATGTATACTGTAATATGTGTTACATTATTAATGAATTATACGATCCTAAATGTTTGTCACTTTTCTGGACAATAATTAACTGTAATTGTTATAATTTGTGCCCCCCATCCTCCCTTCCCCAGCCGTATTATTGTTGATTAATTGTACATGCTTTAATTCTCGACATACCATGAGTAATTATTTTTACCTGCCACAGTTTCCTTATCAAACACTGTTGCTAATTATTATTAATATTTGCCATTACTATTATTATTTTGTATTGTCTTTCAATTAATTTTCTACATTCTCTCTTAGTAAATGAAAGGGGTGCGGGGGGGGGGGGGGGGGGGGGGGGGGGTGAGAGGAGCGAGTCTAACGCCATGACAAGGTAGTTAAGCAGTTGGCCTGGCGCTCCGAGGGTCGTCGGTTCGTTTCACTGACGTCTTTCAATTCACGTAAACAGTTTTTAACGAGACCAACCGTAGATCGTCGCTGGAGCTACGGAGTTCATGCGACGCTTCTATTGTACCCTCAGGGTGTTGTTGACTACACTAAAATGGCTTGTGGACGATTACGTTCAGAAGAGCGCACACTTTTGCGGGTACAATTCCGGCTTTCATGATTTACTGTTTGCGCTAACAGTGAGTTGCAATTCTAATGTGGGACTGTGAGTGTTGGCACATCTGCCTTATGCATGTTTACTTTACTTATGCAAGCTTCACAATTTTGATGCGACAGACAAGATTTTCACTAGTGTTTAACTGGAATAGTGAAAGTCATTTTACGTGATTTCCACTGGCACAGGAACGGGTAGTTTTGAGGCGACCAGTCACTGATCTTGATCCTCAAGTAACGACTAACGACCCCGAGTAACGACTAACCA